TTGGTTTCCCCGCAAAATGACGTCTAAGAAACGAGCGCAGAAATTCCATACTGATGACGTGTCATCACTACCCTGATCTAGATAGTGCCTCTGATTGGTTGAAGTTACTTTCTCTCGCGGCACGGCTAATCAGGAGCACTACGCAGATCAAGATAGTAACACGTCATCAATATGGAATTTTTACGCTCGTTCCTCAGACGTCATTTTGCGGTGAAACCAGTGGTGGCGTCGCGAAAGGTCGGCTGTTTTCTAAGGCTTCTTTTATGGATTGGTAAGATTTTGTTATCGTCATTTTGGTCCTGTTGCACTGACATTGATCGAATCAGACAAATACAGCGAGTCACAACCAATAGTGGGTGTCAAGAATTGTGTTTTACAGTGGCGCAATTTTTATTTTTAGATTTATTACTGGGGTGAAAGTCGGCTGAATGTAAGACGCCGACGTGAAATTCCTGCTTATGCCTTGTCTGTAAGTGTCCCAGGAGGCACCACAACTTCGCATACTGTAAAGAGTCTTACGCCTTACACTAACTACAACTTTGCCATCACGGCTTACAACAGTGGTGGCGAAGGGCCGGCCAGTGACGAAGCCTTTGCAGCAACTGATGAGGATAGTAAGTTATAGATAGAGACCTTTAGATGCTAGGACGAGATTTAACCTTTACCACGCTCTAAACTACAGAAAGACACTGACAGGTCTCCAGCTTTCACCAAAGTAATTTCTTGGAACATTTGGTGGTTCAGATTGGTTTGTGGTATTCAAAAGTTTCCATATAATTATCGAATCATTGCTAATATTGTGCACCCAAATGATCCTAGATATCTTTGCACCGAAAGCTTAGTGAATTTTTGCGTAAACTGTCCATTATCGTCATTATCATCATCATCGTCCTCCTCCTCCTCCTCCTCATCATCATCATTATTTTTATTACTACATATATTAGGATCTAGTGTAAAAACTATTGAAGTGTGTGGAAACTTCACCTTCCTCACAGTTTTTTTGTTTTTGTTGTTGTGTTGTTCAATGTTTTTGTAAAAAGTTAGATTTTTGCTTTAATGGCACGTTGGAAAGTCAGTAGTGCCTTCGTTCATCATGGAAGTTATATAATTTTCATAGTTTCCGTAGTAGAAAAAAGAAACTTTTAGGACACTAACCAAGATTTTTCATTTTCGTTTGAATCTGATTTTTATAGGTGTTCCTAATCCGCCAACAAATCTTGCCATAACAAATTATTTTAACCGCAATACAACCCTTTCCTGGGTCACTGGAGTAGCAAACAATGCTTCCATCACACAGTTTATTATTAGGAACCTTTAGCATCACGTTTTTCATGGGAAACTGCAAACCGCAAACCGCAAACCGCAAAATGTCTCGTGACCACGGCCTTGCGGTCACGGTTGCAGTTTGCAGTTCACGTTTGAACCGCAGGAAGGGATTCCAGCGGTAAGTGATTTACGGCAAGGTTTTTTGCACAAAAAATTGTACAGCCTCGCGTTTAAAGGTATGAACTAGCTTTTTATATCCGTTTGCGATGTGTTTGTTGGATTTTTGATCTCGAATCAATGAATTATTGCTGAGTTTTGGGCGATTAAAGTGATGCACTTCGACTTGATGAAAACAACATGGCGGCCCTAAACAATGAACGCGTAGTTCAAATCAATTTTATATTCCTTTCTGCCGTACTAACAAAGGAAAGTATTCTGTTCCAATCCAAAGTTAAATTTTTTTTTCTATCTTGTCACTGAATTCATAACTTAATTCAGTCTCTGTTTAATTTCTTTTTCAACGTATCACTCCGCGAATTTCATTTTATTTTGCTTATTTCTTAATTGAGACTGGGGAGCCCAGGCTTCATAAAGCCTTATGGTTTCTTCTGGGCTCCCTTGCAACGTTACAATCCCTATATGTATTCTTGTATTGTATTATATTTTGGCTAAATAAAATGAACTGAACTGAACTGAACGCCTTGCTAAAGTTTGAAATCTCAGCAACGCGAAATTGCAAACGCGTAACTGCGGTTTGTGGTTTGCGGTTTGCGGTTTACCTGACGCTAAAGGTCTCTATTGAGCAGAAATCTTCGTACGAGCCCAACGTGTTTTATATCATTCAAAATGTCATAAACCTTAATGCAGCATCCTTTACCTTTAATCTGACCGGATGGGCGACCCTTCATTTCCGTACCCTACTTCAAACCCCTAACCTAAAGGGTCAGAAGCCCTCCTCAGTCTGCCCTTTCACCCTCCACCAATGCAGCATAGTTAGACCCACCAGGAGGTGAAAAGCCCGGTCGTTTGATTTCTAGACTCAGTTATAATGAGATCATTTGTCTTTCTAACTATTTCATCGTCCGGCGAAGTCCTTTACCAGTCAAATGAAACCCCTTCGGCATAAATTTTTAATAGTACTATTTAGAAATTTGTGAAATTTTCGGTGGTCGACTGTATTAGGAGTCAATGCATCGTACATGCATGCCTTTGTGTGCAAAACATAACCCTTACATTATTTGTAACCTTTAAGAAGGCGTGCTCGCCTTTGCTACTGTTATAATTTGTGCCATACAGCCAGGTTTTCAAGTAGTATATCAAGTATGAGACGCAGTGTTTCATCACCAGATGAAACACTGCGAGGGGAGTTGAAAATACGACGCACAGCGGAGTATTTTTCACGAACCTCGAGGTGTTTCATCCGGTGATGAAACACTGTGTCGAATGCTTGAGATTACTTCTCAAATGAATCATTAATGAGTTTGAGAAATAATCGTCCGGATTGTCTCAAGCGCCCGAGGCATCTCAACATTTGTTCACGTGATTGAGATGGTCATATGCGAACACCTGTGACGCCATGTGGGACGATGGGACGATTGGGCGATCAGAATCTTTTCTTTTTTAAGTTTACTTTGGTCACTTTTGGGATTGAAAGGGTTTAGACACGCAAGCTTCACTATCACGATAAGTGTCAAGCCCGGAGAAAAGGTTCGCTCTTTTAAAAGTCAATTAAATTGTCATTTCTTATTCCTCCTTTTAGAACCTGGTCCACCATCCGAATTTAACGTCTATGTTTTCGCAAAATATATCCTGGTTACATGGAAAGCTCCCGTGGAACCGAACGGCGTTGTTACAAAATATCGAGTGAGGTCGGCGCAGTACGAAGGTTCGCAGCCAAGCGACGATCTTCAGGTATCCTGGCAGGAAGTCGGGCCAGGCGTTTTTAGGAAGCTGCTGGACAATAAGACGCCGGAGAGGAATTATGTTGTAGAAATACAAGCACAGACAAGCAAAGGGTGGGGAGATAAAGAAAGAAAGACAAATCGAACTGTGGCATATGCTCGTAAGTAATTTTTCAACATTTTATTGATTAGTTCTGGAGTCACCTCTCTCATTGCGGTAACCTCGCTGAGGGCTTAAAAAGGCCCTTGAATTTTTACTCCATGTCAGTTGTCTTAATTACGTTTTAGTTACCATCAAACTTGCCTGGCTCCTTTACCATCTAGCAAGTGAGTATGAAATCTTTCTTGCCGGGAAGGAAAATCTAATGGTCCCAGACATCCAGACGGGGCATGCATTCTTTGAGCCATCCCCCCATTATGGATATCTTGATAATGGGGACAGCAGTTACATCCTCGGTAAAACTGCATTGCACTTTGAGGTGCTTTTCTTTGCCTTCACTTCACGACGATGATCCGCGAAATTTGCTAATGCGAGGCGCAACAAGCTCAGAAATCCTCGCTGTTCCCACTAATAATGCGCCCTTTTATTCTAGAGCGCGTGCAATCCTTGCGCCTGCGTGTATGTTAATACTAATGGCCACAAGTGGACTGTAGGGAATCTTTCAGTTTGTTATGAATTGCTGTAAAATGATTATTTTTTTCAGCTCCCGCCAAACCAGCAAGACCCACCGCTGAGGGAAACGCTGTGGATAAAGTAAGAGTTACTTACAAATTTGGCCTGGGTGGAAGCTACACGCATGAGTTCTTGGTCATGTATCGAAGGAAGTGTAAGCATTTTTAAAGATGTTAATAAATGAAAGCTCGTTAACCCCTACACACCCAGAGTAAATGACTGAGGCCTGTTAGATTGTTCTAACATTTGAGTACATCGTTCTATCTTTTGAGTCTGAAGACAAAATTCTATGGTGTGACAATTCAAATGAAACCTCTATGGTAGTACTTTCACTTTGTACTATTCATTTCTTTTAATTTTTTATTTCTTTTCTTTTTTCTTTTCTTTCTTTTTTTTTCACATTGTTCAAATAAATTAACTTTGGAATTTTTGCCACTTTGGGAGTGAGAGGGTCACACGTTACTGGCAAAGTCGACGCCCTTTTACAGACAATTTCTATCGACTATGACGGACACCTTTTTCTTCAACCGCTGTCTTTGGCTTTCCATAAGGCTGGCACCTCTGTAGGACGGACGCTGAGTTGCTAAATTAAGTGGTACATAATAATTCAATAGGTAAAAATATGGTGACGTCGAGTTTGACTTTCCCAGTTAATTTGTAGAAAAATTCGCTTACTTTGGCGGTCACAGCTAAACAGTTTGGAAGTTATTCAACTTTTTAGTGTGTGTGTGTGTGTGNTTCAAAATACCAGCTGGGTGAACCATTTTGAAACGCAGAGCATCGAGATCGAAGGCTTAAATAATGAGCTTTACGAGTTTAAAACTGTTGGCAGAAATGATTATCCAGACAATAATAACGTCAATTCAAGATCAGAGAGCCCCGCCAGTGACGTCACGGAAGGACGACCTCTTCCGTCAACAACCAGTAAGTATCGGACTTCACTCTCAGAAGAAAATGCTACAATCGGTGACAAAATTGATTGAGACATTTTTTCCCTAAATGGTCCCTCTTACGTTTTGCCGACTGCCTATTACGAACCAATGTAACAACCAACTCCAAGAAGGCTTTCGAGCTCAATTGGTTAGAGGGCAGCAGTCTCTCACAAAACAGTGACAAAGCAGCCTCCGCAATTTTGCTGTGTAGTGGTAAACATTGCTTCGAGCGTATAAAACGTAAACTACAGTAAACCGCTTCACAATAAATCACGCTGTTCAATCACCATGAAGTCTTTTCTTACCTTCAGAATTATCAACACTAGGATATTCCCTTATTTTCAAAAAGTTCTTACTCTGAAACTTTGGCAAAACACCCAGTTTACGACGGCGAGATTGTTTTGTTTTATATTCACCGCTTAGCGTCGTGAATGTTTTTTCCTTGAGCGCGAATTGGCTCTGAGTCGATAGCCCATGAAGCCAAAGGCCGAATGGGCCAACTCAGGGGGAACGAAAGCTACTTGACGACTCATATAAAGACCACAGGAGGAACAATGGTTTTACTCTTTTTCTTATCACAGAACACGGTCTCCAGTGCTACCACTGTGTCTCAACTAAGAGTTGGGATGACTGTGCCTCTATCCAGAAAAAGGTGGCCTGTGATTCTGGTAAGGAAACCTGTGCCAATATTCATTACCATTCAAAATCGGGAGACATGGCGATGTCGGAAGAACGTTATGCCAGAAAATGTAGCGCAAAATCAGCCTGTGGTAACGAGGAGCTCTGCAAGGCATTGGCTCCAAAAGGAGCTACAATCAAGAAGTGTAAAGTGAACTGCTGCGAGGGTAACCTGTGCAATGGAGCCAGAGTACCACTGGCCAGCGCGATTCTTCTCCTGGCATGTGCTCTTTCAGCGTTTTTTTGTTCAGGAAGTGCAAATTGTGAAGTTTTGAGTTTTTAATAGCTCTTTGGATTAGGGCGAGAAGTGGTTTTATAGTTCTGTTGTAACGTACAAGTAAACGTTATCTTAATTTTATGTATTAAGTCTTGTTTTAGCAAAGTGAGTTTTGACGAAGGAAACCATATCATGTAGAAGCAATTTTTAGCATAGCATTTTAAATTATAAAATTTTAAACGTGTTTAATTTTCATGAAGTATTCCTGTTTACGTGTTTCTTGTGAAATTTAAAAAGAGCTGTCTTGAAAATTTCATGAAGACCCTTTCTAAACCAGCGTTTTTAGGGGAGGAGGGAAGAAATACGACTCCCCTAAAAACCCCTGCGTGGACAGCGGAAGTAATTTTCACGGCCGAAGTCCGGCCTAAGTGCTATAAAGTCAGTCAATCGCGGTGGAAAAGAAAAAAGCGGGGTTTGAAGGTGTTTTTAAACACTTGTAAAAGGTAAAGATGTTTTATATTCTAATCACACTGAAACGATTATAAAAATTTTGTAACTAATCTAAATAACCACAAAACATGGAATAGGAGCGGGCATCTCGTTTATTGATAAAGCCAGCGTAGAGCGTTAGAAAAAAACAGCGTTACAGTTTTACAAACTCAGGGAAATTACAGCAGTAAATAAAATAAAAAATTTAGGGTTGAAAGAGATGCCTCGAATGGCTCTTGCATAACTTAACAAACCTTAAATAGTGTACTAGCCCCTTGAGACACCTTACGAGCACGCCTTAAATACTTCATCAGTATTATGCAACCTAATTTACATACTCTTGTGAAACTAAGAAAACGTTACAAAATATATTTTCCATCAATGTGGTTATAAAGTCGGCGCCGCCGAAAATTTCTGTATAAAATGCGAAAAAAGGTAAGATCTTTCATTAGCAGCATATTGCGTTCCCCCTTTAATGTATGAAATACGTAAATGCAAAACATTAATCGGTGTCGGTTGATTTCCTAAGTCACACGTGCTTTCGAGTATTTCAAAGCTTAATTTGTCGCGGTTTGAACAGTAGAGTTTCATTCCCATAAAGTGGTTAGTTTTAACAAACACGGGTGCTCGACGCTGCATCGATTAGGTAATGGAACAAAATATTTGGTTGGTCAACTGTCTGTTGCTGCATTTAAAGACCGCAGGGCGTATTTAAATCTCTCCAATAAGCCGCTGGGAGTTACTTGTTCCAGCCATCTTTGAGGGGGTGGGGGGTGGGCTTATTCACATCTGAGAGGCAAAGCTATTGTATTTCTTCAAAGTCAGTGAAGGAAATTTAAATCACTGCCCCCGATATCTTTCACTTATTCTTTGATTTTGGAATTCTTCAAATGGATGACTGCTATTTTATTGAATTCTTTAGCAATAATAAGCAAACTGTAGTGCAGGGGAACCATTGTGACTATTGAACTGGAAATTTTACTCTGAAATTAAGAAGGGAGAGGTAGGGCTGGAGAATAGGAAGCATCCGCTGTCTAATTAGCTAAAGTGGGCAATTTCCAATCTGCAGGTGTTTGAATGGGGCAGACTCCTTGACGGGAGTGCATTTTTCCAGGCACATACCCCACCCCCCTTTTCCCTGGTTTTCACATGGTAATCAATCAGGCAAAACTGTATACAAATTTACATACTGTTATATTCCATCATTGCTGAATTTTTTATGAAAATGGTGTGAATGTATTTACCACCTAAATAGACGGGTCGAAAGCTTCTACGAAACAGGTCTTCTTGTGGCGCCTGCAGCAATGGACTCATCAAAAAAAAAAAAATCCCAACGTGTTTAAGGGATAATGTCTGTTTTTAGCACTACTTTGCACACCCAAGAAAATACTTTTCCATCAATGGCAAGCAAAATAAGTGGAAAGATGCGCCACTTATTCGAGGGCGGGGCTCTTACTGGTAAATAAGGTACATGTAACATTTCACTAGCAACCCACGCTAATTGTAATACGGTTAACCCTCTCCAAAAAGGAAACCGCTTGGGGAGGAGGGAGGTATCCATCTCGTAGAGAGTTAAAGAAACTGAATGAAACACGACAGGAACTAACGCCATATATCTGTCTCAGGGAAGGTACCCTTTGCGAGATCGTTGACTGTACAGGTGGGCTTTCCATGCCTCGCGCGAACTATCATTCCGAAACAAAGCAAAGGGAGGCTCATTCACAGCTCAAAAAAGTTTACTACTTTCAGACATCTATAAATGTACTTTCATTAACTGTACAACATTAATCTGAGCACCCGAAAACTCGCACGCCACGTTCCTAACAAGGCGCTTCATTCCCAACCACTCCCAACAGCTAACTTTCTTTCGGCTACTCTTTCAAACAACAAATAATCGGGATACTACTCTGTAAGCTGGTTTGAGGAAACTTTATCAGGATGATGATGATGATAATGATGATGATGATGACGACCACGATAATGACGATGATACTGACGATGATGATGGTGATCTTAATGGTGATGATGACGACAAAGATAATGATATTAATAGCAAACATGTTCACGGCCACCATAGGGGTGATGAAAATTAATTTGAGCAAACTCGCAACTTTGTTAGTGACTCTGGTTTGGCATTAGAACTTGTAGAACCATGTTCTCCGATTAGAACTGACGGAGAACGTACCGCAAAAAGATGATCTCTTCTATATCTAGAATGTCGTCACTTTTCAAAGTATGAAACATTGAAAAGCTCATTTCATTGAGGTTATGTTTACACTATACGGTATAGATTTTGCGCCGGCATAAAAACCATACCGATAGCGGCTCTGTTCACACATAAGAACGATGATTTCCCCAGTCGTCGCAAATTCTTTAACGGAGCGAAGCCGCGCCGTGACGATCTCCAAAGTGGAGAGTCACATATCGGATAGGTGTACACACTGTAATGGATAGCTTTCCGTGTCGACAGGAAGAGCTATTCGGCATAGTGTGAATATGGCCTATTTACGGTTCCTAGGGTGACTAACGTGCAAGGAAGGCGAAGCTTTCTTCATCGTTAGAACATACTTGTCTGTAACTTTGACAATTACAACTACAGAAATATTGTTCACAGCAAAGTTGAGGCCGCGTTATACGCTTTACCTCTTTTCATTATTCTCGCCATTGCCCTTCCCCAGCAAAAGCCCCAGCTACAACAGCTAGTGGGTGGGAAGGTCTCAGCATTGCGTGACGACTCGAAGAGCGGCTGTTTTAGGATTAACCTGGGCCCAGGCTCCGCATTGGGGGAAAAGGCGAAAAAGATCGGCGAGCGGAAGTCTGGGGAGAGGAATGCCGCCGCCCTTTCAGTAGTT